CGCCGCCTCCGAAAAGGTTGAAATGTATTTAATATAATACCTAACGAGTAAATAGGTTTCATTCATATCTGTTACGTAATTGTATGATTGAATGAAATAGAAATTACTTCATTAGGAAATAGAAATTATTTTATACTTTTTAGTGCATTTCGAAGTCGGCGTATTTTTTTTTCTAAAAATTATTTTATAATGAGAAAAATGTTACAAATATGATGAAAAAAATTACACAAAAAAAAAAAAGTTTTATTCTTGCATTAGGAGTGTCCTTCTGGTAGGTCACTCTTTGTTTACGTTCAGTCTCTTTCGCTCGAAATGTAGGAACTGTACGATATCTGCACCAGTTCCGTCCCGAGAATGGTGCACATATCGAATATTTACTGTATTTACCCTTGAACGTACATTTTTCGCAATAGATTTTATAAGAGAAAATTTATTTTTATAATTTATATTTATGTAAGTACTTAAGATTAATTCAAATTTAAGATACCATTGTCATTTAATGTTTTCGAATACACGAACTTCAAAATTTGTAAAAGTAGGCTTCAACAATTATTTTTTATTTGTTAATGATGCAATCACTGGTGTAATATTTTTTCAATATTTTTTTCTATCATTTTGTTTATTTTATATTATTAATGATTGTGATATATCCTTCACAGACATAAGGTATAAAATAAAATGGAGATTTTAAGAGGCAAGCGAAAAAATAGTTTTGTATGCATTTATGAAGGGTATTCTTATAATAAAGATTCTAAAAATCCTAAAATTTATCGCTGCTCTAGTCGTCAGACCCAACAGTGTACAGGAACAGTGGTTCAAAAAGGTGAACAATTTTTTATCCAAAAACCACACACACCCTAATAATCCACAATGTGCAGAAGTGTTAAAATTGAAGTCGATGATGTTAAAGGAATGTAGAGAAAATCCTTGCATAAATAATAAGGAGATTTTTGATAATATTTGTCGTACAAATCCTGATGCAGCAGCATATATTTCATACAATAATATGAAATCTATTATGTTCAGAGAAAAGGTAAAATCTCGACCACCACTTCCTAAAACTGTACAGAGTGCGCATGAAATGCTTGAAAATTACAATGTCTTGAAAGACATTTATAAGGGATGTGCAATTTCAAATGAAAGTAAATATGCCCTGATTTTTTCAAACATTGTACTACTAAGTGCATTAGAAAATGCCAACGAAATTTACATGGATGGTACCTTTTCCGTAAGTATTTAAGGCAAACAACTTATAATGTTAATATTTTTAAGGTAGAGAAAGTTGTTTAATTTTTATCACTTCTAATCTCTTGACAGGTTGTGCCACAAATGCCTGTTTTTCATCAGCTGTATACTGTACATATACGGTACACTGACACGGTATACCACTATTGATAGTTTTTGTTAAAGTTATCTCATACTATCACACTAAAAACTAATGTCAATTTACAGGAAATCGCAATAAAGCAATATGGCAAAAGATAGTGTCTCTTGCTCCACGATTGCAAGACAATTTAGAAATTGTCATGTGCGATTATGAAAAAGCTGCTATGGAAAAGATACAAGTACAATTCCCCGCAGTCACCATACATGGCTGTTGGTTCCATTTTAATCAGGTATGGTATAATAGTTAACATTGCCAAAGTGTTTTTTTCCATAACTTACCTCATTAAAGCGCTCAGCGAAGAGTTGAATGGTCCTTTTCTTACTGTTTAGGCTCTATTAAGAAAATGGAGAAAGTTAGGATTAGAAGGAGCACAAGACGAGATTCTCTCAATGGCAATGACAATGCCTTTAGCTCCACCCGACATGTTTCCACAAGCATTGAATCAAATACAGTTAGTCGCTGATCGGTCCGCTGCCACCTTCCCAAATGTGCTTCAGTTTATGGTGTATCTACGCAATGTGTAGAATCTTTTCACAGTGCTGTGATCAGGAAATTAAAGATTGTTCATCCAAATTTCTGGTTATTCATAGGTATACATATTATTATCATTTATCTTGTTAATTAATGTTTACTATATCAAATAGAATGAATACACGATGCAAGATTGAAAGTAAGAAAATTATATTAGGTGTACAAATGAATAATCCAAATTATTTTAAGCTGTTATAAAATTAATGCATTTGGTGGGATATCAAGGGCGTGCTTTACTATGAGTTGTTAGAACCAGGTGAAACAGTTACTGCAGATTGCTACCAGCGACAATTAATCTGCTTGAGTCAAGCATTGGAAAGAAAACGACCGTATACTGGCAAAGGAGAACGACCAGTGAAACTGTTGCACGACAACGCGAGGCCACACATTGCTTCCAATACAAAAGATGTCATAATGAGTCTTGGATGGGATGTTTTGCAGCACCCGGCATATTCACCGGACACTGCTCCGTCAGATTATCACCTATTCCGGTCGATGCAACACGCCTTATCTGATATGCACTTCCAATCAGTGGACGAGATCCGAAAATGCCTTGACGACTTCATCGCGTCTAAAGACGTAACATTCTTCCGAGATGGAATTCATCAGCTACCAGAAAGATGGCTTAAAGTTATAGAAAGAAATGGCGACTACTTTGATTGAA